ATTTTTTTTGTTCCTCACATGCCTTCAGGGCACGTTGGCCAGCGGGAGAGTTGTGAGGTTCGAACTCCAGCCACCTGAGGCTGACAGCTTTGTGCAAGCAGTCACTTAAAGGACTGAGCTAGGCCCAGGCTCCCTACTCTACAATGTCTTAAAACACATGAATCAATACTCAAGTTACTGGCTAAGAACAACAAAAAAAATATACACTAGATCCCTCAAGTGAATTATTCTTGACATACGACCAAATAATTTTTTCCTAAGCATCTAGCTTAGAGAAAACACTCAACATCTCAAGTTACGCTGACATAAAGTTCTCTGTGTGCCCGACATAAAGCACAGCTCCCATCAGAGAACGAGCAGGAACCGCCTCTTACCTGCCCGGTCTCTGTTTTCTCACTACACCACTTCCCCAGATCTATGAGGCACTTGTCCTGGAGGGCAGGGTCCAGCTTCACATCCATGGCTCGCTGGTGCAGGATCCTCTGGACTTCAGCTCTGCATTCCCGAGAGAGCTGCACAGGAAACAACGGCAGGTGGCTCTGAAGGTCCCACAGCAAATACACAGACTCCAGACAGAGCCAACCTGTTGTCAGGGAACTGACAAACAGCCCTGTGGTGTGCAGTGGCGCTTTGGCTCAGGAACTTCTTTCCACTATTCTGGTCCCAAACTGAACTGGATGAGAACTGAATCAAATTTCCCCTTCAGGTCAACAATAAACCTAACCACTGAATCAGATTCAGTTCTCAACCAATTTGGTTTGCAACCAGAATTATGGAAAGAATTAAATTTATGAACTGAGGTACCCATGTAATTTTGCAAACTTTATACCATGATCTCTTCCAGAATCAGAATTAAATGTTACAGAAATCTGAAGTCCCTATCTCTAGGACTACAATTCTAGTATTTGGCATTTTCTAATATACTATAAAAAATGATTTACTTTTTGGAGACTATCATGAGAGTGAACTGGATCCATGCAGTTAAGAGTTTCTGTTTAGCAAAATTAACTTGCAACTCTGCACATGGGTAGGTAAGCACTGGCGCAGGGAGCACACACACTTGCTCTAGGAGCACAGGGTCCAAACAGACCTCATCCAACGAGGAGGAGCCCTGGTCACTGCAGTCAGGACCAGACGCTTCTAAGGACGACATGGGATGAAGAGTGAGAAAAGGGGGAAACTGGAATTTTTGTCAGGGGTGTAAGAAAGCTATCACTGCACATGCAGTTTTTCTTTCTGAACAGTCTGCAGGGGACTGACAGTCCACAGCAGGGGACTGACTCCTTATTAGGTGGGAAGTTTCCTCTGGAGTCATGAAAGGTTTTGAAACTACACAGTTAGTGACTATACAACACTGTATGTACCAAATGCCCCTGATTTTTTTTTTTAAATGGGTAATTTTACATTTTGAGAATGTCACCTAAATAGTTTTTCATTTTTTAATTTTTTTATGTATTTAGTATAGGGTCTACAGGGTCTCATTACACAGATTGGACTTGTAGTGATTCTCCTGTTTTCAGCCTCCCATGTGCTGGGATTATAGGCACACACCACCACACCCAGTCTCATCTGTAGTCTCAGGATGCCCCAAGGGGTGGGGGGAGGAACAGCACAGCACACAAGGGATTGAGCCCCAGTCGCTGCACTCTGCCTAAGCAGGTACTTCAGTATGCTGAGCTATCTGGCCTGCCCTCACCTAAATTTTTTTACACCACTCCCCCTGCCCTCACCCTGGGCCAATGCACTGAGCAGGATTCCCAGCCCCCCTTTTTGAGACAGGGTCTCACAAAATTGGCCAAGCTGAGCGGGGATTACAGGTATATGCCACCAAGTGCAGCCTACAGGCTTTTTTTTTTTTTTTTTAAGCAAATACAGGCCATGCATGGTGGCGCATACCTGTACTCCCAGTACTTGGGAGGCTGAAGACAGGAAAATCACTGTAGGTTTGAGGCCAGCCTGAACCCTGTCTCAAAAACAACAAAACCAAAATAAAAAACTAAAGCAGCTATGGTGGCACACGCCTGTGATACGAATCCTCTGGGTGGCTGAGTAGGAGATCACCATGTTCATGCACAGCCCAGGCAATTTACTGAGACCGTCTTAAAATAAAAAAGTAAGAAAAGGTCGAGGGCTGGAGCTCAGTGCAAAGGCCTTGGGTTCAATCCCTAGTATCATACATACACATCAACACAACAGATAAAGATTCCATTCCTTTCTTCATTCATAAGAGAAGGAATGTCCTCCTACTGTGATTAGCCAGATGCCAGAAATAGGAGTCCCTGAGGTTAATGACAGGCGCATGATATGAAGAAAAATGTAACAAAGTCCCATGTTTCTTGCACAGAACAAAAAATGGCTGAGGCTTGCAGCAACCAAAGTCCAACATTTTTCTACCTCAGTTTCCTCTTTCTGAGTCCCAGCCACTCAGCCTTCTGGGCTGAGCGCAGAGAGGTATTTGTAAACACGTATGAAGTAACACCGTGGCTGCTTTCTGCCTCAAATGCAGTTCTGCCTTGTAACAGGGTCGCAGCAAGGCAGGCCACACCACAGGCGGCCGATGCTGCTGGAGCATACAGACACGCCAACGTACCATCCCAAGGCAGCAATGGGGGAGGCGAATGCCCACATACTCTGCTCCAACTAGGGCACTGCCACTGCCGCTGCATCCACACAGGCATGTGGGTCCAGCTGTCAAAGGCAGAGGCCAGGGGACCGCTTGGGTCCTAAAAACTTCCAATGAATCTTTAAAACTAAATAAAGATAGCAAAATTTAATTATCCATTGGGATTCAGATTTCAATAACTTAAAAATCCTAGAACTGTTCCTCCACCCACTTTGCTGAAAACACAGACGGGCAGAAGTTGGTGAAACAACTGCAAAGCAATCCCCTTTCCGCCAAATATACCAAAGAAGTTTGCTGGGATAACAGAATCAAGAACACTACAGAGCAAAGGATTGAAAAGCAATGAAAGCAAGCAGCCAGCTCCGCAGGCGTACCCTCCGTCCCTGTTCCTCCGTGCGGTAGGCGTGTCTATACAGACAGGAGAACACGGCACCTGGGGGCATGAGCTCGCTGGTCTCGTTCCAACCATGGGTGTGGCACAGCCGTGACGCATCTCCCTGGCACTTGCGGTACAACACCGGATCAAGCCTGCAAGGTGGAAAGAGAGCTGCTACTTCCTATGCTTTTCCTTTTCACATGAGCTAAGGGCTCAGCAGCTGCTTGCTTGTGTAACTCACTGATCAGCACCACAGCGTAGTGGAGGCGGTGGCAGAAGTACAAAAGTATATTCCTGAATGTCGTTCTCAATGGACACACACTGGCCAACCTGTATAGGTTTGTTAACTCTCACGCAAAAGACATACACTCTACTTTCATGTTATCTTGGCTACATTAATTACCTAACTTACCTAATACTAGAAAGCAACTTACCTAACACATTAAGGCAGTATTCACATGGCTGGGTTGAAAGAGAAAATTAGGGCTCACCTCTTTGTATTATTTGTTTGCTTTTAAACACAAGGTCTTGCTATACATTTAGGGCTGGCCCTGCACTTGCTCCTGCCTCAGCTTTCCTGAGGTCTGGGATCACAGGTGTGTACCACTATACCTGGCTATTAAGTATGAATGTAGTTCAAGTCTACTTAATATACTAGAGTCAACAAAATCAGGAAACAGCAAGACAAATGGAGTCTTCTACTTAAGTTTTTCTCTAGTAAAACTGCTCTTATCCTATGCGAGGCCAGGTAGTGAGTTTTTGGTTTCCCTAAGTAAATCTATCAAGTTATAAAATGGGGCATTTAATTTTAAATCCAGGGCCAGTGGATGTGATGAACCTGCTTTCCTCCAAATCAGACTATGGGATGCTTAATTGGTCCACATTATATTATCAATTGCTGGAGATAGTTATTTAATGAGAAGAAAGAATATTTAACAAGTAGACTAAAACTATGAAGGATTCTGTTTTTGCTGGTACTGGAGATCAAACCTATGCTGCTCTACCACTCATCTACATTCCCAGCCCTTTTTTATTTTTTGAGACAGGGTCTTGCTAAGTTCCCCAGACAGGGCTTGATCTCATGATTCTCCTAACTCAGTCCCCTAAGTGCTGGGAATATCCAGCCCAGGGCCAGCTGACCAGTGTATGAAGCCCTCTTTGTTTCTAGGTGAAGGAATGGACAGGAGGAGAAAGCACAGTCTGTAGTAAGGTGGGACCCTTGGGGAACTCCTGGTTTCTTCAGTTCATATGGCCGAGCAAGCACAGCAGAGCACTGCCAGTTTCCTGTGGTCCTTTCCAGGGCTACGTGAAGGAAAAAATTCAAAAAAACTCTCAAATCTTCAGGTAATCTTGCTCTACTGAATTATGTGGACAAAAATAAAGGTTAATGAGCACAGCATGGAGGTTTCAGCAGTCAGACCCACATGGGCAGCACTGGAGCCGAAGGGCAAGCAGCCTGACCATCCCAGCTTCCCTGCCTAGCTTTCCTCCTCCTTTTCTCCTTCCTTCCTTCTTCATCCCTACTCCTTTTCTTTTTTTCTTCAGTACATGGGATTGAGCCCAGGAAGCACTGAGCTACCTCTCCAGCCCTTTTTAAACTTCATTTTGAGTCAGACATTGCTAACTTGCCCAGACCGGCCTCAGCCTTTCAATCCGTCTGCCTCAGCCTTCGAAAATGCTGGAATTCCAGGCAAGCGCCAACACACCCACTCTCCCTTTCTTGTTAACAGTAAGAGAAATTGGAATTTGAGAATCAAGTCGTCATTTATTGACAAGAACCTCTCAAGATAGAATAAATTCAATAACCTTAAATAGTTCAAGAAATAAAAGCAAATTCCCATTCTCAGTGCAAATCAATAAAGATATAAATGCACTATTATCTTCTTAGTGTCATATCTGAAGATGTTTCTGTTGTCCCCACAGCTGACAGGGTTCTTTCTAGATAGATGTTTGTGCCATCAGAAACTGTCTTTTTGAGACAGGGTCTCACTGTACAGTTTAGGCTGGCCTTGAACTCACTTTATAGCCCAGACTGGCCTCAAATGCATGGCAATCCTATCTCAGCCTCCCAAGTGCTGGGATTACAGACGTTCGCCACCATGCCTGGCATGAGAAACATTTGACCCTGACTTCCAAAGTAGTGAGGAACAGGGATCGTTGGAGGAGACCAGTAGTGGGCTGAATCTGCTTTGAGAGACTGCTCCCACTTCTCTGGAAGCAGGAAGACTGGCTTTCAGGAGTGTGTTAGCTCTTCCAGAACTTGCAAATAATTTCCTACTCACTGTTACAAAATATACAGATCCAGGTGGAAGTGTAGCTCGGGGGCAGCACAGATGCTCAGCAAGAGTGAGGCCCTGGGTTGAATCACGTCACCAAAAGATGCTCTCTACCCTCACAGAGATGATACTGACGACACAGGAGAACAGGCAAGGCAGCACCTAACGCTGGGTTCCAAATACTCACTTCCAGTCCCGGGAGATGAAATACTGCAGCTCCAGGAGACGATGCTCACAATCTTCCACCATCTTCTCTGTGTAAAGATGTTCCATCAGGCAGGACAGGATCCTGGCCACAAGAGAGATGCAATTATATCAAGAGAGGGAGAGGGAGAGGGAGAGGGAGAGGGAGGGGAAGGGGAAGGGG